TCTTTCCCTTTGTATAGGATTGTTGACATGGGAATAACTTTGTTCTTATTCATTATAGGTTGTTCAAGAAGCCCTTGATAAAGCTTATATGACTGAGAAGGATCTCACTGCTGTTGCTGTTACCATTGGTCCTGGTTTAAGTCTCTGCCTACGTGGTAATACATGAACTTAAGAAACTTTAAAAATAGACATGCAAAATTTAGGCACAAGTTCAGTGAGTGAATTGCATGAGTGAGAACACTCATCATCCTTGATAGTTATATTTGCAGAAAAATAAATACATTTTACATTTACAAGAATGATTATAAAAAATAAACCATCTCCTATGACTCTAATATTTCCAATTATATATTAACTCATTTAATAACTGATGACATTTTGATCATTATCTCTATTTCTGACTCGTGATATCATGTAATTGCCAGTGACTCATTTTGTATGTGGGGTAACTCCATCTCAAAAAATAATACAAAGAAATCATTAAGCTTAGATATTAAAAACTGATTGTTCAAACTGTAGACATGATTTATTAATGACTTTCTGACTTCAAGTAATCATTGGAAGGCATTTTTTCAATTCACCTTTTGCAAGGCACACACACACACACACACACACATATATATATATTATTCACCTTTTGAAATGCATATTTCAGTCATAACCATCCATGACTTCATTTTTTTTTATCATCATATGCTTTAGATGAGTTCTTGGTATTAGTTAAATATTCCTCAGTCTTATGTAGTGGGGGTGCAGAAAGCTCGGAGAATTGCTGGGGGATTTAATTTACCAATTATTGGCATACATCACATGGAAGCTCATGCTCTTGTGGCAAGGTAGAGCTATAGTGGCTTTCTAATTCATATATAATCTTTAGCTTAATAGATGGATGCAGAAGCATGCTTGCAATATTTGAAATGACTATTTAGTTTCTGTATATTATACTTCTGCAATTTTTGTGCACATTTTAATGTTCCATAGGATATTATGCTTTTCATTGTGAGTCATACATATCTTTTTCGTTTTAGGTTAATTGAGAAAGATTTGCAGTTTCCATTCATGGCACTACTTATTTCAGGTAATATCCCTGTTCGCCTTTTTTTGGGGTTTTAGTTTAGTTAGTCATGCACTCGTGGTAGAGTTTTTATTCCTCACACCTAATCTATTTTTTCTTGGTAGGATCATGGAATCATTGTTTCTAGTTCATGTTTCACGGAATTTAAAATTTATGGCGTGCTTGAGTAATAAGGTCCATGTGGTACAAATAAATTAAGACAACTTTTTTTGACAGTTTTGAGATTTGAATATGAATGACTGTCATCCTATCAGTAATGTATTTTTTGTGTACTATTTTGTTTTCCTACTAGCATTTGATTAGGAGTTTAGGGACAAAAAAGGACCACATTAAGATTCTCAACATTTAAGTTGGTAAAATATGTTTTTAGATAAATCTTTGACAGTTGGATAGAATTTGAAATTGGTATGTTATTTAAGTAAAATGAAGAAATCTTGTTATTTATTGTTTAGTTTTCCTGCATTTTATGGAATGTGGATCTTATTTATTTATTACAACTTTACAAGGAATCTATCTGTTCTAGTGGCAGACTGGCAGTTGATTTAGCTCAAAATAAAGTTGATTTATACTTGGAAACTGGAATTCATCCAAGTGGTGCATTGGATGCGTATCTTGAAAATGTGCTGTCCTGTTGGCATAATCATTGTTGTGTAATCTAATTGAGAAGGGAACACAAATATTGGATGGTGAAATAGATTGAAACACAAATATATATATATATACAGAGAGAGAGAGAGATCGATCTTGTATGGATTGTCCAGACTCACAATTTATCCCTAATTAGATTGTTCTTAGAATTCTAAGTGTTCTATATTCTCAGTCCTTACTTTTCATACAGAGAGGAATATGATTTCCATGTGTATCCTTTATTTTATTTTTTTCAATAATTTGCACTCTTCCCTGTTAGAGATATACTCATTTGTAGTTAACTACTGGTTATATTAGATTTTGTTATTTTCTGTTCTCATTATTTAGAACTGTTCACTGTAACAGATTTTGTTACTGAGTCGGTTTCTGTGAGTTGATACATCCACTGCTGACTAAATATTCTTCCAGTATAAATACACTCGGCTAACTTGTGTGAGGATGATGATAAATATTGTATCTATAGGGGGACACAATTTACTCATTCTTGCACGTGATCTTGGGCAATACATACAACTTGGAACTACAATAGATGATGCTATTGGTGAGGCATATGACAAGACAGCAAAATGGCTTGGACTTGATATGAGGAGAAGTGGTGGTCCTGCTATAGAGAAGCTTGCTATGGAGGGTAATGCCGAATCTGTCAAGTTTTCTGTAAGTTAGTTTTACAGTATTATATTCCTCTCCCCATTCCTAGCTCGTGATAGTTGCCTTAGGTTGAATATCTATCATTTTCTGACATTACTATGGCCCATAATTTAAGTTTATTACTTTGTTCATTCTAGATTCCAATGAAGCAGCACAAAGACTGCAACTTCTCCTATGCTGGTCTTAAAAACCAAGTACGAATGGCAATTGAGTCCAAAAAGATGTAAGTAAATATTTTGAGCTTTTTGTTAATAGAATTTTTATTTTATAAATAAATATATGCAACAAAGCTGTAACATGATGAATTATTTATTCTAAATATCTTATCAGTTATGTCTAATGTAGTTGTTAGCAGCACAAATTTAATACACTAAATTACACTTTTGGTCTTTTATCTAATTCGCAATTTTAATCTCAATTTTCAATTTTACAATTTTAATCCTCCAATTTTGTAAAATCCACAATTTTAGTCCAGCAATTAAATGTTCATCTAGTGATTATCAAAGTTATGACTAAATTGTACTTTTAGTCTTCATTTTTATCTCAAAGTGGTAAAAAGGAGATGAAAATCAGTGCAAAAATAGGGACTGCAGGTGAAATTTAGTCTAAATATTATTTAATATTAATTTTCTCATCACCTATTTAATGTTATGTCTTGGTCAATGTTACAATTTTAATGGTTGACAAATGAGCATTTAATGATTGAACTAAAATTATGGATTTTATAAAATTGGGAGCAAAAATTTGTGGAACTAAAAAAATTAGGAGATCAAAATTACAGATGAGATATTACAAGAGGACCAAAAATGTAATTTAGCCAATTTAATAGTATAAAATAATTCTGTATTGAAGAAATGTCTGATTGTCAAATTCTGTTTAGTACCTGTTTATTTTTTTCTCGTATAGTTAGATCATTACTAATATTTTATTAGACTTGTAGCCTTCACCTACAGTATAACTAATGATTCATCTCGATTCTTGCATATGACAAGTATTTTGTGTAGTAGTAAATTTAAATTATGCGGACATCTTTTTTATTTTTATTATTACCTACTTATGAGTATATGTATATGGGCAATTGGCAGTGATGCCAAAATTCCAATTTCTTCAGCAAGTAATGAAGATCGATTGTCACGAGCTGATATTGCTGCTTCTTTTCAGGTTAGTAATATTTTTGTACGTTTTATAGATTACAAGTGTCTCCACGGACTAGTGTAGTTATTGAAGTTTAGTATCTCCCTGCTCTTAATTTCCTCATCTTCTCTTTCATTTACGTTTAACCCGTTTGTCTTAGCACGTGTCTTATAACTATTATCTATCTATTTCTACATGTCAAACAGCGAATTGCTGTGTTACATCTTGAGGAAAAGTGCGAACGAGCAATACAGTGGGCATTGAAGATGGAGCCTTCTATAAGACACTTGGTGATTATAAATCTAACTTGCTGCTGTGTCAAATAGCATCAATGCTCCTTTCCCTTGATTTCCATTGAAAAATAGAAATGTCATTCTGTGTCTTGTCTGTTGCAGGTTGTCTCTGGTGGTGTTGCATCAAATCAATATGTTCGGACCCGGCTTGATATGGTTGTGAAGAAGAATGGACTACAACTTGTATGCCCTCCTCCTCAGCTCTGTACTGATAACGGTAACCATATATTCTAAATTTTGCTTTAAGTAGTGAAGACTACCTCTATCTCTATTGTGCTTCTTTGCAAACATAACAGTCCCAAGTAGAATAAATGAGGGTTCTATAGAGCAATTGGTAACCAATATGAAAAATTGACCAAAATCTTGTATTGCATGTATCAATGATAATGTTAGGTCATTATTTTTAAGTATCACATGGTATGGCTTCAGTGTACTGTTGACTTTGCTACAACAGATATATTGGCACTTGAATATAGTGCAAAATAGGAGTTCTCACATTTTCTGGACACTTGTGGATAAAGAAGTTTGTCCAAGAGAGAAAGATTAATCATTGAAATATTAGAATACTAACTGTTAAATTTATGGAAGTAGTTGACTATATGATTAGAAGGAGAACGAACCTAATGTTCCATCTAGCAACCAAGTGGGTTGGAGTTGGAGAAAAGGATAAATTGGTTGCTTCGAGATTTAAATTCAAGTGCATAAAGAAGAATCATGGAACAATAATGAAATAGTACTTCCATATAGATACAGTACAAAATTTACATGAATATAGTATGTTGTGCTTGGGCTGCTTTAATCATAGTTTTTACATTTCACTTCCCACGCATTATGATGAAGAAATGGACTAAAGGTACTACAACACTAATTAAGGGGGATTTGAGAATCCATATTTCTTGTCGAGAGGGAAACAGGTGCCAATTTAACTTGAACTGGTTCTTAAATTTCATTTACCCATATGCAATGGCATTGAGAAGATTTTCTTGTATGGGTGAAATCTAATGCTCGTCCTTTTCTCACATTCATTCTCCTTAATGCTCATCACAAAGACAAGGAAAAATATACTCTATTTCTCCGTTGTAACATCTCAATTCTCTCCTTTATAGATCTTTTGGCAATCCAAAATCAGTTGTCACACGGATTTTCATTTTCTTATGTATCTTTCTTGATCCATTGTATTAAAACATCAGATTAGGATGGTAGTATTTGTAGTTCAATTTGAACAAGTTTGTTTATGTTGAACGAAAGCTGTTAATATCTTATTAGCCTGCTTTGAACTGAACAGGTGTAATGGTTGCTTGGACCGGTATTGAGCACTTCCGCATGGGAAGATATGACCCTCCTCCTCCTGCAGAAGAGCCAGAAGACTTTGTGGTATGTTTTCCTAAACATTGAAAAAATTATGGATTAAAGGACTTTTTTATCAACTGAATTTGCTTTCATCAGTCTCTAAAATTTGTTTACTATGATACATTTCAGTATGATTTACGCCCGAGGTGGCCGCTTGGGGAAGTATATGCTGAAGGAAAAAGTGAAGCACGTTCCTTAAGAACAGCCCGTATTCATCCTTCTCTTACATCTATAATTCAAGCATCATTGCAACAGTGACACTGCTTGAACTTCCATGTTGTTTCAGTCTCTTTATGAAGCTCTGCAGCGCAAGCCTCTTTCCTGGACTTATCTATGATTTTGCCAAAATGACATTTCTGGCCAAATTTTCATTAATACGTGGAACAAAAGTCCATGTTTGCGGTGGAAATTGACCATTGGCATGAAGCAGTGTCACGAAAAAATCCAGCAAAGCAATGTCACTTCAGGGAGAAACCTAATAAAATGGTATGGTGGTTGATATTGGTAAAAGTGAAAATAGGATTTGGGTGGGAAGAGATAACTGGTTATGCTTTCAACAAAATTTTACAACTTTAAGAGTAAAAGAAAAGGAAAAACTAGGAAAATTTTCATTTATGCCCCATGTAGTTCAGGAAATCTGTAAGTCTAGTAGTACAAAACTTGTATTTATTTCATCTACAAAGATGTGGCGCCTGCCTATTTCTGCACTATCTCTAGATAAATTGTCTAGTTTTCGTCTTTCACATACATGCACGCTAAAAGTATTTCTGTTAACTTCTGTATAACTATTGACATATGTTTTTCCCATTTGTATATTAGGATTATAGAAGTTTGTCTTGGTAGCATTCGTTAGCATTATCACTTTAGAAGTCATCATGGGTTGACATAAATAGTTTAACATCCCATCCAAGTTTGCGTTCTCCATGACTTAAACTTCATACTCTTTGTGACCATTAGAATCTTACTTTAGTGAGCAAATTTATTTAAAGAGATTCTTGGTACCATAGATGAAACTTATGGCAAGTCTATTCTCAATTCGATAAATAAAGTCCTAGGCAATTCTAAGTTTTAATTAACTATTAAGTGAGTGGGTGTTAGATTTGATGATCTTTAGCATATAATTGACTTTCTATTTGATAGTCAGAATGTCATCTTTTATTTACTATTTTACGTATCATAAAAAATATTATTACTTTAGAATTAAAAATTATGTATGTGTTGAGTCAATGTACATTAATTAAAAATTTGATGTCTTTTAAGATAACCAAGATATAATACCTATATATCATTTTATTACCTATTTATAAAATTTAATTTAATCTAATCTAATCATAAAAAGTTTAGATACATTCATCATTGTATTAATGGAGTACCAGATTATTTTGTTTACAATAACTAAAATTTTATAAGAAGTTAGTTTTCTCTCTAATTTGTTACACACTGTCTCGTTGTGTTTGTTTATGAATATAGACATGATTCTAATATGTCTAAGAATTATTACTATTAATTCTCTCACTATAGTTATAATGTTAATATACCTTACATATTTAAATTCACAAAGATTGTACCATCTTATTACTTTTGTTCTAGTACATAAATCATGAAACTTCCTTAAAATTTGCTACATTTTTGCAAGTCAAATAATGAGATTTAGCCCAATTATAGTTTAGGGAGATACAAAATAGGAATATAAAATAGAAGAGAAATATAATTGAAAAATTATTTTGATTGAATTTATAGAAGTAGGGTGTTAACACCCAACTTTACCTTTGAAGCTCGATAACACTAGCAGTAGCACTAGGCCCAAAAGTGATACTTAACTACTTTTTTGGATGAAGGATTATCACTAAACAACTAGTTTTTGATCACCATGTGGATGGTATAGATGTTGGGACCATTGCATTTTTTGTTACATTTCTTCCTTTAAATAAACCATTTGTAATCTTTGAAAGACATAAATGAAATATGAATTTCTTTTTTCATCTTAGTATATTTGTTAATTTATGCCTAACAATTTGGTGCTTGCGTTAAGCTTACAATGCCTCCTCTAGCAACATCTTCACAATCCAATGATGAGACTTTTCAATCTCAAAATTTTTCACCCTCTAGTTTCAGTTGGATAATCATTAGTTTATCTTGAATGCATGTCATAAATCCTTAACTACATTAATGGTTGGTGTGCTTGATCAACTAACCCTCATGAATCGCCCACTCGAGGTTTCTATTCCTCTTCTACAAATTTCACTAACTCCTTTTTTTTGCCCATTTTCTATCACTATACCAATCTCACCATCACCACCCTTTTTCCCCTCACCTTATACCCTGCCACCTCCTTATCACAACATGTTGTTGTTCCACCACAAACACCTTTGTTTCCTTACCCATCTCTCTACCCCACTTTTACCCAGAACCCCCATTTTATGGCCACACCATGCCTTCATCCCTACATTTTATCCTCTTTTCCCCCTTCGTTTTCAACATCTCTGACTAACCCTACTAGCCAACTTTGCACTCTTAAACTTCAACTTCCTTTTGATGGTTTTAATCCTCCAGATTAGGTTTTTTAAGTGGATCAATAGTTTGCTTCCCACCAAGTTCCATGCGAGCATTGCCTACCTATGGTTGCCTTCTACTTGGTGAGAGATGCTCTTAGTTGGTTTAGGTGGATGTTCCATAACAACTAGCTTTTTGATCGACACTCTTTTATTCGCGCACTGGAATTACGTTTTGGCTTATCTGTTTATGAGAATTACCAGGCCGAATCATTCAAGCTCAAACAAATGGGCTCTATCACTAAATTTCAAACTCAATTTGAACGCTTTAATAATAGAATTATTAGGTTAACGCCTGAGTTTATTCGTAATTGTTTCATTTCAAGGCTGTTCTCCATTCCTTAGCTTTCATTTTCTTATAATTCCACACCATTCCATATTGGGTGATAAGAAACTTCATCCTACCTTAGCTTCCTATCAGCAACTTTGTCACTACACTCATACTAACTTTGAAGCCTCTTACCATTTTTTGGCTATTTAATCAAAATTGACTCTATCTCAACCAATTCCATTTCTTATTAACTCAAACATCTAAGATTTAATGACTAAATTCACCTTTGTTTTTTAAACACTCCATGGCCTACCACTCCCTTGTTCCCATGATCATGTTATACTAATCAAACCAAACACCGAACCCCATCAACATCAAACCCTATCATTACCTCCATTCCCAAAAGGAAGCAATGACCAAAATGATCACTAAAATGCTTAATGAGGGCACTATCTACCCCAATCGAAGCCCATTTTTCATCCCCAATAATCCTTGTTGAAAAAAAAGACAGCTCATGGAGATTCTACGTAGATTACATGGCTTTAAACGCCATTACAGTGAGGGATTATTTCCCTATCCCAACTATTGATGAGTTATTGGACAAACTTGGTGTAGTCACAATATTTTCAAAAATTAATCTTTGAGAAGGCTATCATCAGATTTTGGTCCAACCACAAGATGTACATAAGACTACATTTAGAACCTTTGATGTACATTATGAATTCCTAATCGTGCCATTTGGTTTAACTAATGCTTTAACTATCTTCTAGGCAATAATGAATGATTTTTTGTACCCTTATTTGAGAAAAATTACTTTTTTATGATATTTTAATTTATAGCAAAAATTTATCTGATCATCTTGGCCATTTATGACTGATTTTAGACCTCTTGCAATCGAATCATTTCTTTGTTAAAGGTTTTAAGTGCATTTTTGCAAAATCTAAAGTTGCTTATTTAGGCCATATTATTTCCTCGAACCCTTAAAAAATTCAAGCTATTACGGAATGGCCTCAGCCATGCTCACTTACGACTCTCAAGGGATTCTTAGGTCTCATTGACGATGCTTTGTGCGCCACTATGCCACACTAGTTGCTCCTTTCGCTGACCTCTTGTGCAATAATTCAAATTTTACATGGAGTCCAGAAACCTCTAAGGCTTTCACAAAATTTAAAAATGTTGTTACAACACTCCCCGTTTTGATTTTGCCTATTTTTTCTCAAACTTTTGTTGTAGAAATGGTTGCCTTTGCCATTGCCATTGGTGTTGTGTTATTACAACAAGGCCACCCTATCATGTTTTTCAATAAAAAGTTTATTATTGAATGCAAGTTAAATCCATTTATGTGCACAAGTTATATGCAGTCACCTCTACAAAGAAATGATGGCGACAATACCTGATAGGCCAACATTTTCATATTTCCACTGATCGATAAAACTTGAAAAACATTTTAACTTAACAAATTCATACATCAACACAACAATATACGACCACCAAGTTGTTAGGTTATAGTTTTGAGGTTTTTTTACCACCCTAGCAAGCACAATCAAGTGGTTGATGCCCTTTTCTTGATCGGAACTACCTAATTTTGGAGCAATGGCCCAACCAGCCTTATCCTTTGTTGCCACTTCTTCTCCTTTTCCTACTATTCCTAAATAGATGTGTCAATACTATGCCACTGATATAGGGGGTTAAAAATTGGTTAAAAATTATACAATACATGGAAACAACTTTGATTTTCACTTTACAAATGGATTGCTTTATTTCCAAAATAGGATATTCTTACCCTCTGAATTTTGTAATTCCATATTATAGGAACTCCATGGTTTTCCTTCGGTAGGCCACTCCAGTTTAAAACCCATAATGGATTGCATTACTGCAAATTTCTACTAGCTAGGACGATATACAAACACCAAACATTACATTCACAATGGTTTCATCTGCCAAACAGGTAAATATCAGCCTAAGAAAACACAAGGCCCGTTACATCCATTGCCAATACTAGAAAGGGTGTAGGAAGACATCACCGTGGACTTTGTTACTCACTTACCCAACTCTTTTGGTCATATTGTCATATGGGTTCTTTGCAATTGCCTCACGAAATACGTTCATTTTGTGTGTCTTTTGTCCTATTTCATTGCTGAAAAATTCACACCATGCTTTTCAACTGACATTTGGAAGCTTCATGGTACACCTAAATGAATAACTTTAGATTGTGACCCATCTTTGTCAACCAATTTTGAAGGAATTATTCAATAATGAAGGCACAAAAATTGAATTACTCAACCTTTTACCATCTACAAATTGATGGACCAACGAAGGTCGCGAATCAAAGTTTAAAAGCTTACCTCTTTTGTTTTGCAAGTGGCAGATCGCGCTTTTGGTTTGCATTTCTCCACATTGCAAAATATTAGTACAATACTACTTTTCACTTTGTAATTGGCATGTCTCCATACAAGGCTCTTTATGGAAAACACCCTCCATCCATTTTTCAATATACCAAGGCTTATCCTTGATCCAGTCCACCCCTTTTCGCAACTTCTCTTATAAAAGCAACAAGTCATCAACAAGTTGAAACAAACATTGAAGAATAAAGAGGAAGTGCCAAAAGGTGTGCTCAAGCAAATAAGAAGAGATCAAATATTACCTTCACATTGGGAACTTATGTTCTCCTCAAACTCCAATTTTACTAACAGACAAATTTGGCTCGTTATCCATCCCCAAAACTTGCCAAGCGTTTCTACAACCTCTTCTTGGTCAAACAATCCTTTTCACTCATTTAAAAATCCTCTGACACTTCTATGTTGCCAACCCACATGACTTTATCCCCTAACATTATTATAGACAACTAATGTAACTTAGTTACACCACTCGACCACACCAATTCCTTATCACTCCTCACGGTAACATCTTCACCCTTCATTACGCCACCTCACCAATCCAAAGTATCCATTATGTTCACAACAAACATAACTCTAATAAGTCGGATTCCTCCTATTGACCTTGTGATGGAAGAAGCTTGTAGGAGTGATTGTTGTTCTCCTTCAATCTCCATCTTCATTGTCCAATCATCCTCTTGAGGTCCTCAAAGGCATTTCACAGAAGCAAATCAAGTTTCAAAAGCTTGATGGAAGCTACTCTTGGTGGCTCGGTTTCTTCTTGAAGAAGAAGAAGAAAAAGAAGATGAACCAAGGCACAATGGAGGAAGTCCTTTGTCAAGGTTCTCAAGAAGAGAAAGTTTCTCCACGGATTAGACTATTGAGTTGAGAGAGAATTTCTTAATTCTATTTCTCATAAATGTTCAGAAGTGATTTCAAATAGTAGGAATGGGTTTATACTTTATATAGAGTAAGGTAGCTTGTGGAGCAAGCTAAGTTTAACCATGGTTCAAGAGAACCATGATTGGCTTAGCTTGACCGTCCACCATGGTTTGGGAGGCTTGTGGAGCAAGCTTCTAACTTAGTAGCTTGGGAAGCAAGCTAAGTTAGAAGCTTGTAGCACAAGCTTCCCAAAGGTGTCAAGTGAAGAAGCAAATCCAGCCAAGGTTGGGGTGTGCGGCCATGGGCTAGTTTCTATACTTAATCCAATCTAAAAGTCTTGGAATTGGTTTAGTTAGGTTCATCAAATGATGGTGAGGCCTAGCTAAATAAATTCCTTGAAAAATATGGAGCAAAACAAGCCCAATATGTAAAATTTGGCCTAGGCCCAACTCTAGCTCATTTACTAGTTGCACCTACATATTTTGCTAATTGTCACCCTACTTCTACTACTAAAAAATGTAAAATGAGTGACCCTTAATACAAGGTTAAATGGAGCAAAAGTCTCCAAAGAACCTATCCTAAATACACAATAGAATAGTCTATAAAGAAAGAAATAAAGTGTCTCACAAATACAAAGACAAAATTGAACCTATACAAGAAACTATGTACAAATGAACTAAGGCCTTCTTTTTAAGATATGGTGGTCCACGTGAAGATTACCTTAGGCTTAGAGAACCCATTAACCTTCAACCTTTCCAACCCCTCTTGTATTCTCCTGACCATAATTCTGGTAATTGGGCCCTTGGCCCGTGATCCATCATGCAATAAATCTAATAACAAACATAACTCTAATAAATCGGATTCCTCCTATTGACCTTGCGAACAAGGTCGTTGCTAACCGGCCTAAATATGTTAACGTCCCAACTTTCCTTCTGAAACCCAATAACACTAGCAACAACACTAGGCTCAAATGTGACACCTCTGGATGAAAGATTATCACTAAACAACTAGTTTTTGATCACCACATGTAGGGTGAAGATGTTAGGACTGTTACATTTTCTGTTTCATTTCTTGCTTTAAATAAATCATTTATAATCTTTGAAAGACATTAATGAAGTATGAATTTCTTCTCTTTTTTTTTTTTTTTTTTTATTGCCTTAGTTAGTATATTTGTTAGTTTATGCCTAACATAGGGAGGGAGGGAGAATTTTTTTTCTTGTTTGGATGAATGGGAATAAATAGTGAAAAGAAATCAATGAGTTATAAGGCTTCCTGTAGTTCTAATTGTCAAATGTTTTCTCCCTTACCGGCCTACACTTCTACAATGACAATGAACAACTCCAACTTGATTATTCTCGTTGTACATATAGCATTGGTTCACCTGTACAAGAAACTGAAGAATCTCCTAATAGGTGATTGCCTTTTTTTTATAATTTTTTTTATCTCATGAAAAAGATTATTCACAATCTTTACAAACATTAACTTCTCTCTTGTGGTATGGTGGCAATAAGAAAAGTACTTTAATGGCGTGTTCTCCACCTTTAGTTTTAGGAACTTATATCCTTTTTGCAATAAGAAAACATGTTTAGTAATTATATTTTTAAAATATATGAAGTAATTTTATCATAGAGAAATAATAATCATTTTCAATAAAATAAGTAACTAATTGAATACCTTTATCATTATCGAGGGGCCAAAATTTCTTTTTGAAGTACACCAAAATTTAGTAGTATTTAATAAAAAAAATTTACTTAAAAAAAAGTATGTTGATATTCAAAACAGTCATGTAATATTAAATTAAAAAAATAATTTTTTTCAAGAATATTTCAAAATCTGCCAGTATTTAATTAAAATAATTATAATTTTTTAGGAGTAAGTTAAAATTAGTGGTATTTAATTAAGACTTTTTTTTTACTTCAAAAAATTTGTTGGTATTTAAAAATATAGAGATTTCAATGAATAATTTTGAAGGAAGGATTTTGTGAGACTTTTTACTAAAATTTACATATAATTTACTCGTCCACCAATCTTACAAAAATCTTTGAAATTTTGCATGACTTTTTCGCCTACTTCTCTTTTCTCTCTCTCTCATCTATTCTCTTATTGTTCATCTCTCACAATTATCTCATATTCTCTCTATTTTTTCTCCTATTTTTATTTATAAATATTGGTGTATGGTTTATCAATATTTTTAATTATTAAATATTTAAAATTATTTTTGAATTATTAAATATTATCTATTTTAATTTTTCAAAATTATTAAAATTATTAAAATTTAACTAATGTGTATTTTCAGTAAAATTTAATATTGAAATATCAAAAATTTAAAACATATATTAAAAAATATTATTTTTGTATATGGTAAAAATTAAGTATTTAAAATTAAATAAATTTGAATTAAAATTTTCAATCAAAACAATTAAATTTTGAAGCATCTCAACTTAAATTTTTTTCATTTAAACAGAACTTAAGATAAATTTTTAAGTTATTTATGAAATTAGTATGTGAAATGTACCTTCAAAAAAGATTAAAAAAAATAGAATATTGTGTGTATGTAATTATGTGAGTGAAAGTTTCACTATTTAAGTTTTATACAATATCAACTTGAATATAACTAAATTAATATGTATATATATATATATATATAAAATTTGAAAATAATTATTTTTTTTAATAATTTTACATATAATTTAAAAGAAAAAAGTAAAAGGATCATCAGATCTTCATTACTTTTTTGAACTAATTTTCATTGGTCTAGTTTGACCTAATTGACCATTAGATTGAGACAAATTTGCCCTTGAACCTAAAAATAAAGAGTCTAAATTGACTTAACTTAGCGGGCCAACGAGTCAACCCATCAGATTGGATCAATTTTGATAGTTTTACTAGATAATAATTTTATAGCATTAATGAGAAAATATAAATGTATAGATGACTATATATAGAGAATTATTACTTAAGATGACATGAAATTATAATCAATTATTTATTAAAATATTAAAAAAAATTATTAATTTTATTTTTATTTAAACCTTATCATTTATGTTTTCTTTTATTAATTATATATATATTTTTAAAATCTATATTGTCATTTAAAATCTCATAAAGTTCATTTAAATCTTATAAATTCTTATGATATAAATCCATTAAAATTTATATTACAAAATTTTGATTTCAAAAGTCTTTTAAAAAAAATCTTACTACCTCCAATCTTATATATAAAACCCAAAACATAATTCATCAAAATTAAAATAATAGTTAATCTAGTTGATAATAATAAATTTATCTCATTTTTTTTCCAAAACTATCTTTGTACTACTTTTTTTTCTTCTCTTAATTGATATTCACCTTTCTTTTAACCAATTAAAGTATATGTTATATATTACTTCTCTCTCATAATTAATATTACTTACCCTCTAAAACAATTAGAATTTATGTCTTTTAAAGAATATATAATTAATGTATTCCATCAAATTAAGAGAATACAAGTTTTAATTAAGAATATTTTAGTCTAAAATTAATTAATACATTAAATATTATAAATTGAATCTTATATATAAAAAATAATTATTCTAAGTTAAATTTTATAAATAAAAATAAAAAGTAACAAATTTTTTCTTATAAGTTCTTATTAAGGTACTTATGCAACTTTGTAATGAAAAAAACACTTCTACAATTGTTACATCAAAATAAGTTAAAAATCATTTTTACTAAAAAAAGATTTTTTTTATCATTGTAACCAATACAGTTCATTTCTGCTTATACAAAAATCTTTTTTTTTTTAAATGAATCACTTTTTTAATAAAGGAAAAATATTTTTGACATTCAAAATACTATTAGACACTTGGTGAAAGAGAGATAGAAAAAAATATAATAGATTATACAGATAAAAAAATTAGAAAAAAAAGAGAGAGAAAAAAAAGTGTGATGAAGTGCTTAAAAAATTGATTACCCAAAAATCACTGCTTTTTTAGAACCACCTTTTTTAATTATAAATAATTATAAATATAAAATAATACTTAATATCAACTTTAAAACTATGCTATAAAATAAATCATGCCCAAGGAAATCCTAACCTAAGAAAACAAGGGCAAGTACTTGATCCTAACGGAGCTAACCTAAGAAGACATAAGGGGTAAGCGACAAATTTTCTTAATATTTTTATTATCGGATTACTGAACTGAACCGCAACCGCTAGAAATGTTTATGGCGATTATCACAAAATGTTTGTACGCAAAATTAATTGTTATAATCCAATTTGTGACCTAACCTAACCTAACCCTACCTGATCTCACTCCATCGACGGGGAAAGCCAAAAGCTTTGTTTAACAAGACCTCAAACTAAAACCCTTCATCAACGGTGAGTCCCCTTTTTATCAACCCTTTCTCTTTTCCTTTAATTCTTAAGCTTCCGTTTTCCTGTCACCTAATTCAACCATTCATGCTGTGACCCCATTGAATTTCTATTTTCTACACACATAGCTTTTGCTTCTTGTTACTTTTTTGGTATAGGACATTGGAGAATGTTGACACTTGTAGATGAAAAATATTAAAATAAAAAAAATATATAAATAGGCCTTCAATTGTTGATTTATTCCGTAGTTATTTATGTAAGTGATTCCGTTAATAAGAAGTTGAACTTTCATAGATCATTGCCAAGCTATGGCTATTGTGTTTCTCAGCAAACTCAGATACAGATACCCTCCAACAACCCCAGTTTTAAGCTTCCTTTGTTGTTTACATGGTCGTTTCTTGTCTCTTTGTGTCAAACCCATCAATTGGAACACGACTCACAGCTTCGTCCAACGGAACCCTCTCCTTTCTCTCTTGGAAAGGTCCAAGTCCTTGTTTCAGCTGAAGCAGATTCAGGCACGAATGATTTTGACGGGTTTGATCGGCAATGGCTTTGCTGCCAGTCGCCTTGTTGCTTTTTGTGCTCTATCCGAATCACAGAATCTTGAGTATTGTACTAAAATTTTGTATTGGATCAAGGAGCCGAACGTCTTTTCTTGGAATGTGGCGATTAGGGGATCCGTGGAAAGTGGAGACTTAGAAGGAGCTGTTTTGTTGTACAAGAGAATGTTGCAATGTGGTTTGTTGAAGCCGGATAATCATACTTACCCCTTATTGCTAAAAGCTTGTTCTTATTCATCCATGAATTGGGTTGGTTTTACTATTCTTGGGCATGTGTTGAAGTTTGGCTTTGAATCGGATATATTTGTGCACAATGCGTCGATCAAAATGCTACTTTCATATGGAGAGCTGGAGGCGGCATATGATGTGTTCAATAAAGTTTATGTGAGAGACTTGGTAACATGGAATTCCATGATTACTGGGTGTGTTAGAAGAGGGCTAGCAAATGAGGCTAGAAAACTCTACCAGGAAATGGAGGCAGAGAAAGTAAAACCAAATGAGATTACAATGATTGGGATCATTTCTTCTTGTTCTCAATTGCAGGATTTGAGTCTTGGCAGAGAATTTCATTGTTACATTAAAGAACATGGCCTTGAGTTAACAATCCCGCTCAATAATGCACTTATGGACATGTATGTGAAGTGTGGAGACCTGTTGGCTGCACGAGCCATATTTGATAACGTGGCTAATAAGACCCTCGTTTCATGGACTACAATGATTTTGGGGTATGCCAGATTTGGTTTTCTGGATGTTGCTCGGGAGCTTTTGTATAAAATTCCAGAGAAGAGTGTTGTGCCTTGGAATTCAATCATTAGTGGCTGTGTGCAAGCTAAGAATAGTAAAGAGGCATTGGCTTTATTCCATGAAATGCAAATTAATAAAATAGAACCTGATAAAGTGACCATAGTTAACTGTCTGTCTGCATGCTCACAACTAGGAGCACTTGACGTGGGAATATGGATTCACCATTATATTGAAAGACACAATCTCTCTCTAGATGTTGCCATGGGAACCGCACTAGTTAACATGTATGCCGAGTGTGGAAATATTGCAAGAGCTCTCCAGGTTTTCCAAGAGATTCCTCAAAGAAATTGTTTGACCTGGACAGCCATTATTCGTGGTTTAGCACTTCATGGGAGCGCACATGATGCTATATCCTATTTCTTAAAAATGATTCATAGTGGCTTAAGACCTGATGAGATCACTTTTCTTGGTGTCTTATCAGCTTGTTGTCATGGAGGTTTAGTTGAAGAAGGCCGCAAATATTTTTCCCAAATGAGCTCTAAATTCAATATATCCCCTCAGCTTAAACACTACTCATGCATGGTGGATCTTCTAGGAAGGGCTGGTCATTTGGAGGAAGCAGAAGAGCTTATCCGAAATATGCCAATGGCAGCAGATGCTGCTGTGTGGGGTGCTTTATGCGCTGCCTGTTGTGTCCACGGTAATGTTCTAATTGGAGAGAGGGCAGCTTTGAAGCTTCTTGAGATGGATCCTCAAGATAGTGGTATTTATGTTTTACTTGCTAGCTTGTACAGTAAGGCAAAAATGTGGAAGGAGGCAAGGAATGCAAGGAAGCTAATGAAGGAGAGAGGAGTAGAGAAGACTCCTGGTTGCAGCTCAATTGAGATCAATGGCATTGTTCATGAGTTCGTTGCAAGGGATGCGTTACATCCACAGTCTGAATGGATTTATGCATGCCTGGTTTCATTGACAAAACAACTGGAGCTTCATGTCTTTACATGTGACATTCCTGCTTATGAAGATAATATTTTTTCCTAAATTTGTCAGCTTGTTTGCTTTATTTCTGCTCATTTAATTATGCTCTTCCCTGGACTGCCTGCACCCGTTTTTCATTTTATCCAGGGATCCTACATTAGAAAATGTACGTAAATAACACGAGTCATGTCTTTCCTGTCCTGTGTCCTTTCACTGATTTGAATCTTCTTGTGCCCCTTCATATAACTTGTAAGATCTTCATTACAGAAGAATGCAGAGTAAGTATTAGATTATTATGTGTGGCTCTACTTCAGTATTTTAATTGGAAAAGCACGGAGACTTATCATGTACATCATCAAATATTCTCTTTGTTAGTCAACCATGTGTTCACTGTATCGTCTTCACCTGTACGGATTGTCAAATTTGCTAGGATGAGATGAACAGGACTGTGTTTATGACTGCATTGAGTTCACTCTCTCCCAGTGTTGGAAGTTTCATGGGTTCCCCTTTTCCTTTTTTTTCATTAAGCATTCTACTTTGATGAAGACGTTTTTTCATAAAATAAAAATGTGAAATGTCTAAGGTCCAGCAGTGTTGCTGTAGAGAATAAACAGTATGCACAATATGATTTTAATATGTTGGTTAACATATTTTTTTTACTTGCTTTTGCCCCTAGTTATTGTCCTTTCTTGCTTAAAGTTTCCCCCTTTTGATGGTTGACAATTCTCCTACTCATGGCATGGTTTCCCCTGCCAACTTGTTGGATCTCTTTACAAAGATTTAACAGGAAAATAATTGAGCTGCCAGTATGAGTTCTATGATAAGATTGTTCAAGACTAATTTTATATGATTTTCCATGACAATAAAACTTTAAACAAACATTGTAACAACCTAAAGGTTACTTGTTTGTAATACTTATCTGATATATAAAATTATTTGTTCTCATATATGGATTTTAATCACAATTGCATTTGAAAGCATTTGATTTTATCTAATCAAATATATGGCATCAACAAGACCAAAAGAATATTTGTTGAAAACATTTGTCAAAATCCAATAGCTGACACTTTCACTTGTTTCTGCCTGTTGGTTTGATATATATAGTTTCCGGACTTGGTTCATATTTATGTACTCATTTTCTCTTTCCTGTGTTGGTTAAATTTAGTTGTCTTTCCTGCTGTCAAAGGTTACTTGTTTGTAATATTAAATTATTACAACTGAATTATTCTGCCGTCTTGCGTTCAGGAGTTGGGAGGATGCTGACATTGTGAATTTTCTCTTGACATTGACCAGAGCAATTCAGACCTGGATTCAATAAAGGTCATCAGTATTTCACTGCCAAAGTGAACAAAGGTGAAATGGTATGGTAGAGAAAATCTTTGATAGCTTCTACTTCCTCAGTCCCCTTTTACTTGTGAATTAGATTCAACCATTGAGGTTTACTGATAGCTACCTTTTCAATGACAGGCTTCGTTCAAAGAGTTGCCTAGAACTGCTCAAATTCGCCTTGTGAGTTCACACCAGGAGGTTTATGAACCATGTGATGATTCTTTTGCACTGGTTGATGCTCTTCTAGCTGATCGCAATAACCTGTTGGAACATCATCCAACATTGTGCATGGAGATAGGCTGTGGTAGTGGATATGTTATTACTTCCCTTGCTCTTATTCTTGGGCAGGAAGATTGTGGCATCAACTATATTGCAACTGATATCAACCCACATGCAGTGAAGGTGACACATGAGACACTCGAAGCACATGGGGTTGGTGCAGAGTTGATAGTAACAAATATTGCATCAGGACTAGAGGAGCGTCTAGCAGGTTTGGTTGATGTTATGGTTGTGAATCCTCCTTATGTGCCTACCCCTGAAGATGAAGTCGGTGTTGACGGTATTACATCATCTTGGGCTGGGGGGGAGAATGGCCGGAGTGTAATTGACAGGATTTTGCCAGTTGCAGACCGTCTTTTGTCAGAGAAGGGGTGGTTGTACATGGTCACCCTCACAGCAAACAATCCATCTGAGATATGCAATCTAATGAGAAAGAAAGGATATGCTTCTAAGATTGTTGTCCAAAGATCAACAGAGGAAGAAAGTCTCCATATCATCAAGTTCTGGCGGGATTTTGATAAGGAAGTGAATGAAACGGACCAATCTGCTTCTGGGTTCTTAGGCTCCTTGTTTGCACTAGTTCCTCTGCTTTCGTATTGGAGAGGCACCAATAGTGACAACAAAAATAATTGATTTTATGAGACTGGGATGTCTTTCTTATCTTGACAACTTGAATGTTTTGCATTGCCATGGGAGTCAGCGTGTTCATAAATACACCACCCAATGCTAAATTTTCAATAAAACCTCTTTTAGCAAGGTCTTTCTTAGTAGTGTCTTCTAATGTTTTCCTTGATCTTTATCCTGTTTAATCGGACCATCTTCCATTTGATCTTCTCTTCTCACTCTACAAAACCATCCTAGGCAAGTTTACGTTGCCATCTCATAAGTTTATCCTTGCTTTTTAGGATACTTTCATTTCTGGTCTTATCTTCTATTATATGTCCACTTGCCCACCTTATATATATATATATATATATATATATATAGGGGTTATAATTACACTGATGTAACTTTTACCAAGTGTTACACTATTCAATAACTTTATATTAAATTTTAATTTTTTAAATTTAACCGTTAGATTGAAAGTTCATATTACTTTATATGTGTATATCAAATTTTGTTAAAATTGAACAACAATTTGAAAGTGATTAAAATGTTCTTATTTTATTATATTTTGAAATGAATATATTATGTCAATTTTATTTTATAAAAATGAAGTATCAAATTATTTTATATTAATATAAAATTTTGTATATATGATCTAAGAAATACGACTTTTAATTTAACAGTTAGATTTACAAAATTTATATTTAATATAAAGTTATTAGTGGTGTAATATTTGGTAAAAGTTATATAATGTAATTATAACTCCCTTATATATATATATCTTTGCTATGATGGCACTTCATTGTCCAATATTCACTGTCATAAAACAATTGTTCATCTTATAGCTGTTCAATGTTTTTTTTCCTTGAATTTGATAGGCATTTCGCAATTGCAAATTAGGCCTGATATGTCTCACTTGAGACTTTAACCAGCCATGAAAAGGTGGATGAAAAAAGGAATAAACAAAAAAGGCACAGCATAGGCAGATTTAATGCTGTTAAGATTCTTGAGATAATTTATTTCATCAGAGATTTTGCCCATCATACCATTTCAAAAAAACATTGAAACTTGAACTATTTTATATTTTACAGGCAGAGGTTACGCGGTTATACCATTGAAACATCAACCACTACCTTTTATTGGTGTAATAACTAGTTTAATTATAAAATCTTCGATAATTAAAGGTTTTTACAATTTGGTTTTGGATCAACTTTACAATAAAAAAAAATCATCTAATTTAATCATTGAAAAACATGTTTGGTTAAAATCTCAAAATATCATATCCAAACCAGTAGTAGTCTAAATTATTAACCTAAATAATCTAAATTTCAACTCATGCCTCACTTTGCGTTTGATTCTTTTGTGGCTTTCAACACCCTCACTTTTGTTCCTGGTTTCAAGTTGTGATGTCTCTTTTCCTTTTTATCACAAGTGGAAATAACATAAGGATAGTTCAGGGAATAAATGTGGAGAAGAATAATTTTGTTAGGGAGAATAGACAGGTGACAACTGAACCAATGATTGTGAGCAACAAAAAAAAAAGTGCAAGGATGAGGAGGGTCAAATCACATATAAGGGATTATGTGTGAGGTGACAATTAGTTATACGAGGGAAAAGAAAGAGAGTAAGGGTATAAGTATTATGACTTTCTATTTCCTCATTTTTACGTTTCTGTAGTCTATTGTGATAGCAACCTTCTTCTTCGTTGTAAGAAAACCCATAATACAATAATACATACATAGCCATTTTCTATCTAAAGGGTATCATTTATTTCATTATAATTACTAAATTGACCTTCTCTCATTACACTTTCCTCACTTCCTCCTCTATGTGGCTTCAAGCTATAATGCCTCATCTTCAAAAATTATGGATATACTTATCAGTCAATTATTGAAAAATAGACTCATTACTTTTTTATTATCAATATAAGGATTTTGTTGATGAGTAATCTTTAACTACCTCTCTAAGTGTTTAAAGTCTTGTAGTTTATTTTAATTCTAATAAGTTTACAGAATTCAACTCACTTAAACTTTATAATAAAGTAAAGAAAACTATGGGTCCAATTATGTATTTCTCCTTCTTCAAGCTACAATGTCTTTTCTTCTCCTTCAAACTCTAAAACCTCTTGTCCTTCACCAACCATAGATTCTTGAAAAATGAAAATAATAAAAATAAATATATTTTCTAAATCTTGAAAATTTAAATAAGAAAATAATAATTTTAAAAATTAAAAGAGGAGAAAACATTTTTCTTAAACTAAAGAAATACTTTAATTAATATCTAGTTTTTATTTTAAAAAACAACACTTACAAACAAAATTCAAATGAATATAAAAAATTGAAATTGTAAACACTCATTATGAATTGTCTAAATTATTATAAATCACAAGCTAAAATAATCTTAAATTTTTTGAAACTTCAAATACATGTTTGGAATAAATTGAACAATAAAATAACTTTTTAAGATTTATTTAAGACTAAAATAACACTAATACTCTAATAGTCTATTTTAATTTAGTTTTAAGAGTTTAGTTTTTAGCGATGCAATGTACTATCTAATTAAAAATATTAGTGTAATTTTTAAGATAATTATTACAAAAGTTAATAGTTAATAATTTATCATACATGTCCATTTTAATTTCACGACTTTACGTCGTTAGTGTATACACACTAGTTTTTAACATAAAATCGAAAATTCGAGTTCAAATACAAAATTTCCATTTTCAGTCTTTTCGATTCATAATCTGTTTTAAGTTTCAATTTTTTGTTTAATCACTTTAGCGGTTTGAATAGACTATGCTCCTTGAAGTATCGTTGATGTTAATTTTGATTGAATATTGACGCTGCTGCGAACAGAAGAAGTAAAAATATGGTGAGAGGGAGAGAGTGAGAGTGGGAAACATGGAAGTGGGTATGCTTCCAATCTCAGCTTCAAAGAGAGGAAAACTCTTGGCTGCTGGTTACACCACACTTGATGCCATTGCTCGTGCCTCCCCCACCCACCTTGCTCGAGGTTTTCCTTTCAATTTCAATTCTCAACCCTTCTTTCATTTTCCATATGGGCATGCATATATGTTAAAAAGTTCCTCTTTTTTCACCTACCCATTATCTCACTTTGGCAGATATTGATGTTTCTGATAGTGAAGCCTCGGAAATTCTGAGTCTTGCAACCAAAGCTAGTAGTGCTTTGGAGAGAGAAAGACCAAATGGGACTCACACTGCTGTTGTTGGTGGTATGTGTTGTGTTGTGTTGATTCCAATTTGGCTATTTAGTTATTCTTTTGGAATGTGATCAGAATTTTTTTACTTTTTATGTTTTGTATAAATGGTGCATGTTCATTTGAAAAGACCACATCTCTTGCATTCCCATGATTTCTTTTGATCTGAACTGGTGGAGTGATAAGGACTATATTGGATTTGGCTAGTCGTTACTCATGAATTTGTTGTGTTGGAGGCAATGTTTGAAGAGGTTAAGGATGGGGAAAGCTCCTGTCAAATCAATTATGTGTGTTCCTGGGTTTTGCTGTTGAAAATTATGTGTGGTCCATGTAGCCGACCTCCTAGTGGGATAAGACTTTTGTCGTTGTTTTTGTTGTACCAAAAGAAATTCCAATTTATGATATCAAGTTTTTTCAAGCTGGGATGTGATGTGTATTAGAAATCAAGTTGATAGCCAGAAGCAATAGCTTTCATTAATATAAATGTGGAGCTTCCATGTGAATAGTGCTGTTTGGAGAGATCTACAGACAAATTGTTAAATGTTAAGAACACTATTATTGAATCCACAACCTGTCACGGTGAGCCAATTGATTCACCTACACATTAGCTTAGCCTTAGATAGGATGTAAAATTATCTAGTGGATAGAATCGATTCCAAAAATCTCCTATTGTGAGTATGTGAAGATTATTGGTTGGGGGAAGCAAAGAACTATCGAGTGGCTATGCTCAATAAAAAAATTAATAGACATTTTATTTATATGGCATAAGTGCTTTGGTTTTACTTGATATGTGACCTTCTAATTGAAGTATTACTTTCTTTCTGTATTATATGAATTGAATTTGGTCCAGTATATACTACAGAGCATGATTCCATGAAGCACTTGAAGTAATCTTTCTTTTGTTTTCCTTTTCTCCATTTTGTGTTTTTATGTCATGCAGGTGGACAGACTGCCTGGGATATGCTCAATGAAGAAAAATTTTCTTCTTGCATTACCACATCTTGTGTGGATCTGGACAACATCCTTGGCGGAGGAATTAAGTGCAAAGAAGTCACTGAAATAGGTTAGTGATTGTTTGGCTTCTCTTATGAGTATGAAACCCATAATCATGATTTCAAATGAAATATATATTACTTGTTGTTTGTCATGCATGAATATCTTTGTTTTCTTTCTTTCTTTCTTTCTTCCCTTTTCTAGTTGTAATATAATTCTTTGTTTCTTTAATCTTTATTTAGGTGGAGTTCCAGGCATCGGTAAAACTCAAATAGGGTATTGTTTGTCATCCTGATTTTCTACATGTTGCTATTGTTCTTTTCCTTCCTAAGTTGTGAAATATTTTGGTTATTTGTAATAATCACTGGTGTTTACGTTTGCAGGATTCAACTTGCGGTAAATGTTCAGATTCCACAAGAATATGGTGGCCTAGGTGGGAAGGCAATATACATCGGTAAGAGCCTTAATTAAATTCTAATACTCATTCAGCATTGGTCATTGATTGCACTTCTTGTGCCTATGTGATACTCAGACACAGAAGGAAGCTTTATGGTTGAACGTGTTCTACAAATTGCTGAAGCATGCATAGAAGATATGGCAGAATACAGCCACCAGTTTCACAAGGATTTTCAAGCTTGTGATGTTAAAGTTCACCCTAATAATATCTTAGAAAATATATTCTATTTTCGTGTTTGCAGCTACACTGAGCAAATTGCTTTGATAAATTACTTGGACAAATTCATCATGGAGAATAAAGATGTAAGTATAGTATTTCATCAATCAAATTGATTTTTTTTTCAGCAAACATGTTGAATTTATCCTTGAGTCTTGACCTCATATGTTGCATTGGATTGTCGACAATCGCAGTACTCTTGCTTTGGGTTTCTTTCCTTTTCCTTTTGATAAGTTGTTTTGTTACATCTTAACTAATCCATTGTGATCCATTTTTAAATACATAATTCCAGGTAAAGATCATCATTGTTGACAGTGTTACTTTCCACTTCCGCCAAGATTTTGATGATATGGCTCTCAGGACTCGATTGCTCAGTGAAATGGCTTTGAAGTTGATGAAGCTTGCA